CTGCAGTTATCAAGGTTCTTGACAGCACTGCCAGTCACCGCTCATCTAGTTTCGAAACCTCTGCCAATACAATGCCTCTGAGTGAACCAGTTACAGGGACCGCTTGGCCGTTGTGTTTGAACGTTTGGGTATCTTCATTCGCGTTTGCTTGCCTTGAAAGCAGCTCAAACAAGGTCTATCTGGTAATTGAAGTTGTAGCAAACCTGTAACAGTGTCTGATAGAATCATACGTCGTATCCCTTCTTTGTGAAAATGCCCCAACTTGCGGTGTCATATGTCAAATTCTAAAGACTGCAGCAAAGAGTTGGAATTGATCTTAACTGGCGGCGGCACATTTTCATCTTGAAGTTGATATAGTCCTCGAGAACTGTCTCTTGAAGCAAATGCAACTTTTTCTCCGGTTTTCATGTTGCGAATAGTGCAACCTTGAGAAACAAACTTGAGGCTATAATTGTTGTTAGCTATGTGTCCAACCGACAACAAATTCTTCTTGATTGATGGAGAGTAAAGGACATGAGAAATACTTTGAACGCTTCCACCCGAAAATTGTATGTCGACATTGCCAACTTCCAAAACGTCATGATCGTGCACTCCATCAATTTTGACAGTTGTGGTCAAACTTTGATGAAGCGACGAGAATACTTGTTGATTTCCTATGATATGATGGGTGGCTCCCGATTCTATATATCACTTTGAAGTTGAACTGGTGTGTGGACTAAGTTGAGTTCAACCACACTAGTCGAGGTCAACTCTTGTGATAAGCATGGAGTGGAGATTTTGTGAGTATCACAAAACTTACAGAAGTCAAGTTGTTGTTCGGAAGTAAGTTCCATCATGCACGCCTCAATGTTGAGTTGAGCATCTAAGTTGATGTAGTCTTCTTCACGCTCACAGTGTATGTTTTGGAGTTCGTCATCAATCTCATCATTAAGAGAATTAATCTGTCCTTGCATTGAACGCTTATGTCGGTCCTAGAGTCGAAATTTGATGTCTTTGGCATGATCAACCATCACATTCAAGTTGCATTCATGGTCGAGATGGTCACGTTGAAAACAAAATTTACAGTACTCTGGGCGAGGAATATCAGGTCCACATGATTCGTACTTGGGTTGCTAGTTTTGGTGTCGTCCTTCCTAAGACTGAAAATTCCGAGCGTTTTGGTAGCTTGGCGATTGGTAACTCCTTGCATGACTTTAGAATTGATGTTGTCCTGTGTAAGACAACGGTCCCAGGGTTTACTCAACAAATAATCTACACCATTTAAACTATTTTTTTGTTGATTTAATCTTATCAATTTGACCCTTAAAATCGTACTGAGTTAAATCTACTTATACAACTCGATATTTCTGAAAGGAAACTCTTTGTAGACAGAAATGAAACTTGTCAAAATTACCGACGTGTTGTTGGCAAATACATTCGATTTTTGTGCGCGGGATGGTGAGGCTTGCCTGTAGTTGTTGCGGCTCACCAACAAGGCTTTGCTATGTCGTTCTTCAGGATTCCATGTGTGAGAGATCTCTTCTCCAAGCAATTTGGCATCTAAATCACTATATGAAGGTAGGTTGCTCATATGCATACGTTTAAAGACATCGTACTAGCTTGGTAAGTTCAAGAGAGTAGAATAAACTACGATGTCCTCAAGAAGTCCACAATTGACCTCTTCAAGCATATCATAGATGTTTTTCACTTCTGTGAGATGTTCATCCATGATAATGCTTTCGAGCTTCCGGATTTGAAAGAATTTATGTATCAATTGAGCCCGTCTTGGACCTTTGTCAGACTCATAGCGATGTTTAATTGCAATCCAAAGCTCATATAGTTCATTGTATCGCTTGAGGAGCTTCAAGCCGGACATTCAGGCATTCTTCATAAACAAGCTCATACATCTGGACCGTTCTCATATTTCCACAGTTCGTGGGAGAAGATGGGGGTGTGGTGCAATAGAAGAACATATCGTCTTTTTGAAGCTCTTGTTTAGTTCTGAACAACCAAACTCCGTAGTTTGAAGCACCAGCAAAGTAATATGACTCTGGTAAATTTGCTTCAGCTGTAACTACTGCTAAGCGGCCAGTGGCTTAGTGTTGGTTTTCCAACGGAGCTTCACCTCCATTACCAAAACTGGCAGGAGTAAAGTGATCGTAGACAACATTACTAAAACTAGTATCACCTGACATGATTGATGAAAGAAATTTGAAAATATTACGAGTGGTACACTTGTACGAGATAATTGCGATCAAGATGACTAGAAAACTAATGTAGAGAAAGAAAGCAACAACTTTCACTCTTGAGTCATGATCACTGAACGTGATGAAGAGCAAGGGAATCTATCCGGAAGCCAAACCGGCTCTGATAATATGTTAGAATGTGCACACTGGGATAACCGTGGGAAACAAGAATGTTTAATGATAACAAAAGAGAATCACATAAATACCCTTGAGGTCCTTGAAAAGCAAGAAAGCCCAAGGGACGAGCTTCACACGTTCGCTGTGAGAACGAGATAGAGCGAGGGCATCCTGAATCCTAATCTCAAGTGACCACACACATTTGAACATACTAGTCAGTAGAAACTCCAACATCAAGACATCATGATGAATACATGTCAATTCACAACACCATCATACTCCTCGAGATACATAGTCTGATGAGGTGTTTCCTCATTAAAACATGCTGTCATATTACATATCCAACCAACACAAGTAGCCAAAAGAGTGCCAACCTTGCACCATCTACTCATCAACGTCTCCGTGCCACCTGCTTCCAGTATCATACTCCTATCTAGTGCATGGGTTTCTACTCAATCCATGAGCATCAAGGTTAACGTTTCTCGTTTTATGCATAACCTGAAAATCATACTTTTGTAAGATGAGAGATTATCGTGCAAGCTTGTCCGGTTCCATCAACCACTTGAACGGCTGGTTGTCAATAACAAGGTAAACTTTGCACCGAACAAATAACATCTAAAATGTTAGTGTAATTGCCATGTACATTCTTCTTCACCATCATAACAGTGGCTGATGCATATTTTTCATGCAATAGCTCCATCGATACAGCCTTTAAATTATCCATCACTCTATCTCAAATCAGGTTTCCCTTCATATCATTCTACCAGTATGGACGACAAAAATGTATCATCTAACACATCAATCTCTATAACGGATCAATCAAAGCATCCAACTACTATAAACTGAAGGCAAAACAATTTCTATACTTCCTTATGAATTGTATCAAGCGTCATCTCACTCCTACTGTGATCCGGGTACCAATCAATGATACATTAATCAACCCAATCCTTCTCTATTCACACACACTAGATGGAGACAACACTCTCATTTATTGCTATGTTACATCCTCCAAAGAATCAAGACGGCTCTTCATACCCTCATTTGGACCAAACTCCACGTGAAAAACTTCTCCAACTGCACGAGCTACAATTCTAACAAGCTTTCTTGTCATGTCCAATAAACTTCAAGTTCGCTTGTCGCCTCAAGCCATTGTCATTACCCTCTCGATAGTCAATGAGGTAACGAGTGGTGTAGAAACTATCAAATGAGCATGAAGACGTCTTTGCGTAGCTAAATCCTAGCTCACAATCCAAATCAATTTGTTCATGTCCATAGGTTGATCCAAAACTTGATAACGTGACGCCTCAGGAACTGAAGAAGCCTCAATCACATCAATCATAAATCGCATTGGTTCATGTCCATAGGTTGATCCAAAACTTGATGACGTGACGCCTCAGAAACTGAAGAAGCCTCAATCACATCAATCATAAATCGCATTGCACGTATTCTTTCATTAGCATTGGGCTTCACTAACTGATGCATCACTGAAAATCCAAGATATTGTTCATGATGAGTGTATGATCACTCTGCACGGAATCATAGACACGACGTAATAACTCTTGTAGCGAAAGTCATGTCCACCATAATCATGAACAATGAGCACCTGATCCAACCCTTGCAACGTTCAACAATACGGCCGATCCAATCCATGATTGAACATCCTAAACATTCGCCATCAACTGGATCCAAATGTAATCCAACAACAGTATGTTCTCCAAGATGTATGCAAGAGGAGTGCATGATGCACATGGAATGACGTAACACCATGGAATGACGTAACACACAACAACATTTTCCAGAACATCATGTAACACATAAATAGTTTGTAATTATTCTCATCATTTTCTTTTTTATAAAAATGATATTTTATAAAGCTATTAAACATTAGTTTCTAATTATTTATTTAATAATTTTTATTAATCAAATCTAGTGGTAAAGCTCACCAAAATCTTTCATTCATGGGAATTAGTATTCCAATTATTAGGACTTGTTGTGTTTACATGAATTATGTAACATTAACAATCAAAAGAGAAACTCCCACTATCTATTATATTAGCATTGGATTAGTAATATAATGGATATAATTAACAAACACATATATATCTTTCAATTAATACATTTTATTTTTCTGTATGTGTTTAAGTTAATTGATTTCATTCATATGAAATACATAAACATAATAATTATAGATTGTATATTATAAATCAATTTTGTGCTCGATATAAAACAAAATCTTTTACTTATATGTAAAAGAATATAGATAAACTGCACAAACTCATGATTTGATAATTAGAAATCATTATGTAAAATGATAAGAATGTGTCGATGCCAAAAAATAATCACGAGTTGTAAGTAAGATATGGGCGATAATAACAGATAGTTGTCCCATTGTTATCAACTGACAGAAGTGTATTGAAGTAGTCTTTTGTCAAATTAGTATATTCTTTATAAACTCATGAAACCAGCTGATAAATTTCGAGAAACCAGCAGGTGATCATTAGTCCAAACTCACCAACAAGCCCCATGAGCTAAAAGAAATAGTCAAGCTACTGTAAGACAAGAGCATTTCACGTAGATTAAGATGAGAATGAAAATATGAATATTGTTCTCGACATTTATGAAGCATTACCGCTTGACGTAAAAAGTAAGGCAGTGTAGCGTGAAGCGCTCAATAACGAATGGTGAAACATCTGACATGGTCTGGATTTGGAGCTTTCAGTGCTGAACGAAATGCTCGATCCGATCGCATGGGAACTGGTGAGTACTATTTGTTGAGATTGCTAGTGAAATCTGCCCATTCAGCTCCTTGAGATTCAGTACGATAATCGTGAGAACTATTGCACCGGACTATGGCGGAGGGTGGCTTTTCCACGGCCCTGCCGAAGACAGGGAGTGAGCCAGAGGAGAAGAAAATCAACTTCGCCGATTTGAAGGGATGGTCGTCGCAAGTTGAGGATCTGGTGGATGCCGGAGATGCCGATGGAGCTGTGAATCTGCTGAAAAAGGTCGTGGAAAGTTTACAGCTTCGCGACGATGCTGATAGTAATTTAGGGCTAGCTGCGGCATTCACCGATCTTGGAGGAGTTTACGCCTCTCAAGGACTTTCACTGAAGTCCGACGAGTGTTTCACCTCGGCCTTGCTTATCAAACAACGGAGAACCCAGAAGCCTGCAGAAGTTCTGCTGGAGTCGTGGTAGGCTAAACTTTTATATCGATTCTAAGAATTCCTGTTCTTCCAGTTTTAGTTCTTTTGTCAGCAAATTGAACTAGAAAAACATTGTAGTTGACAACTTTTATACCAACGATCGCAATTATGTGAATTTGAATCTATTTCCGTTGTATATAGCATTGCACGAGACTTAAATCGCGTAGTAAGTCGTCCACCTTGAATCTCGAAGTTCTAAAGTGCTGCAAGAGGCCTCCATGTTTTAAAGCTTAATCTCAAATGTTATCGGAGCACCACCTCAGTCACACAGTAACATTGCAGAAGTTTTGATGCGGCATAGCACAAGCAACGTGCTATGTTCTTGCAAGATGAGTACACTGGTCAAGTTGATGAAATATTTTCATAATTGTCCAGGGAAAATGTTGTGCATGCACCGGACACTGGGGAGGAGAAGAGGGGTTCTGCCCAATCGGCATCTAGTATAGAAGATTACTATAAATATGATCATTTTCCCAGCATCAGGAATTCTGCAGACTCCTGTGCTACGGGGGCTAGAGAAGAAGAAGGCATGTATTAAAGAGGACCATCGTGATCAACTCTTATTGATTAGCCGTATTACTTTCTGAAGTGGAATTTGTTCTTAATTTTGTTTCTCACAGAGCCGCTTGAACGTTTTTGCCCCAGTTATGATGGATTACCACCTCAACTGTCGAGGTCTTTGACATTGTTAAGATTTTATGCCTGTTTATAGATTGGGAAGCTGCTACGAGTGAACTACCAACATTGAAGAATGCATCTTCAGCTTTTGCAAAGCAGGATCTGCCTGCTAATAATAAGACAAATGTAAAACAAAAGCAGCGAGGAAGGGGATCCTTTACATATGGTGGAGCTGGTATGTACAGCGACAATTTGGACGGTGATGGTGCTGGTGATGAGGATGGCCAGCGAGACGGTACTCTGAGCGACCATTGTAGGTGCCCACTCAAAAGGCAAGCCCTGCAACAGATGCAAATTTCGTTGCTCTTTGCATCTGATTAGAGCTTGTATCATTGTGTTGTGAATCAGAATCCTTAAGAATATTCATTCAGTGGAGAAAATGAAAATATTCGATCGGGTGTATATTTTCTATAACCTTATATTGTGGACCGTACAATTTTGACAATTTTGGTATTCGCTCATTATCTTTCGCTGCAGCATTGAACGGTGGAGCAGATCATGTGGTGGTCATCAGTGGCTTCTCACCTAAGCTGAAAACGAAAGATCTAGAAGACTTGGTGAAGCCTTACTCAAAGCAAGGGGGATGTACATTACGCTGGATTGACGATACCACTACTTTAGCCGTTTTCCGCACCCCAGCCTTGGGTAAGCGATATGTCTGTGACTGATGAACTATATATCTGAGCTTTAACGTTTAGCTGTAGTACATTCATGACGTCAGTTGACTTATGGTTATCGTCCACTCCGGAACATGCATACACAATTTCTTTTGCAAACAGGAGATTAGTGAGACATCGAGAACCTCACTTCAGCAGTTGGGAGAGGAACTCTACTCAATGGGTCACCTTCTAGGCGAAAGTTGTTTATCTGGCCGTTTTGCCTTTGAAGACAGCCTTTGTGAAGTGCATACTTACTAAGTAGTATTTGTGGTTCCAGCCAGAGAGGCATTGACTGGTATCAGCGACCCCAGGTTTAAAGTTGGCGTCTACAATGAATCAAGCCGTGCTTATGGTTTAGCGTCCGAGAAAGGTACCTGCATGACAAGCATCTTCTTTATGTTCAATATAAGTGTACTGTATTGATCACCACAAGGAACAACGACTCTGTGGAAGATATTCGAGATCCTCATTGTCGTTGGAGTTCTCACTTGGTTTTCTTTTCCTGATCTCTATCCTAATCTCTAATTAACTCGTATATAAGTCGGTTTGGAACCTTGACCTGTAATCTAATCAGCGGTTACGCGTTGTGCGCCAAAATGTAAGCAGATTCCTGAACAGATATCCTATTTTATTGTTTCTGTTGTCACTCATTCCTGCAGATCTGCAGCCACCGGCAGCACGGCCCGCTTCAACTGCCAGAGTAGCCCAGAGAATGATTGCAGGAGCCCTTAGTCAACAAGGGGTAAGGCAAGCACTGATGGCAAAGGGTAGAACAAGTGCCGAAGAGGTGAAGAAACAAGAAAGGCAACGAAGAGAGAGGCTGCAGACAAGGGCACAACTCCGTGACGAGGCTTGGGGATCAGACGACGATTAGCATGTGAAGAAACTCCGCCCGTTAGACTTTAAGAAGCAGATTGAAGCAGGATGTAGTTTCGAAAGTCATAAGCAGTTCGGAGGAGCATCGGGTAAAATTTGTATCGTGTCACGTGCTGTAGCCTTTGGTAGGATAACAAAAGGTGTCATGACAAGAGCGACAGTGGATGAAGTTTGAAACATATATTTGCAATAAACTGAGTCCCTCAGTCAGGTAACGCTTCTTGGAGGAGCCGAAGTTTTGTATTGTTTCTATGCCTCTTAGCCCGGTCATACACGACTTTGTCCCTCCGAACTTTGGCATCCTTGTCTCGTTCCTAATTTAACTGTTGAAGATGCTTCTGTGTTAGCTCATTGTCCGACAAACTTCGCCTCAAATGTCAATATTGTCGTATTCTACACAAACAATAATCTGCGACACTTAATTTTTTAACGTAGTGAATAGAAAACAAGTGCGCCCAAGAACAACCAGTAGCGGTCAAAAGTGGGAAGTGTAGTTGTATGGTCATTTTGGTAGGGACAGGATGACTATCCCAGTATGCTGGTATAATTAATTGATGATCGACTTGTAGCAAAAATTCATGATCGACTTGTAAAAAAATTTAACTGACGAATCCCAACGTTGTATTTGGATTGTAGTAGCAAGGACGTCACTCTCCCAATTTTAGAAATCGTGTCCAACTATGGTACGGTTATGATACATTAGAGAACAAAGGGCAAACCAGTGGGTCAAAATCACTGTATTGTTTCATCAACCAACGAACCAAAATCACGAACTGACATCTCGGTCAATTGTTCCACCTTCCAAGGCGTTAGTTGGACATCAATCCATTCTCAGCGCTAAGTGGATCCTCTGTCTGTGTCAGCTTTGTCAAGGAAGGTCAGTAGTATGAGGCATCGACTTCTGATGAAATTCGATCCACACAACTTTCTCTTGACGTGTTTGGTACAGAGTCACAACAATGCAGAATTTCACACTAACTTTGCGGAGAAAACCAGATGATTCTTTCGTATCCACTTTTTTTCGTCACTTGTAAAATCATCTAAAAACTGTACTCCAACTAATCTTCCTTTAGTAGATCAATATTCATCAAATGTCCTTTTCCATTTGTTGACAAAAACAGCCTCATGTGCTTTCTTCATGTTTATCCAAATTGTGTTTTCTCCTCCGGTACAGTATTTTGATCATTGATATCATGTTTGTTTTAACTTATGTGGATACAACAACCTTCACTTGACTGTCAATCTTTCAAATGACTTGACGTCACGAGATCAGGATTCCGGTGAATGCTTCTGCTGGAGTTTCCAACATAATGACCATGTTAAAAAAAGTCAGTAATTAATGCCCTTGGCTTCATCTGACATCTTCTGGTCCCTTTCTATATTTTAATCTCACATCCACCAATTTCTCACCATACACACTCCAGATTACGCGTCACGCACACTGCTTCGTTTCAATTTAAGTGAGTGTATCGACACTTTACTGTTTCAACATAAGTGTAATTAAACATTTTTTGAGTAAACATGTTTTTAAGTGATCATGCCAGCACGAGCCGTGAAAATTAACATACCAGGATGGGGTAAATGGTCAATGAAGAAATACTCTTTCCACGCCCATGATGAGAACAATCCAACATTCTAAACTAGCGGCCAGATTTCACAGTAACATGTAGCGAACGAGGCACGGTAACAGTAACAGGAGGCACAAATAACGCCGAACTTTCTTTGATCAATTATGAACCCGTCATGCACGTCAAGATGAAAGGGATGATCACTTTGCCCGTCAGTCGGCAAGTCCTCCATTCGATGTGCGGTCTCAGTAAATGAACTCCGGGGCCCACCAGCCTTGACATGGACGGAAGGGATTAGAACCGCTGGTCTGGGATTCCAGGATTTCCCGAACCGAACCGAACTGGAAATCGTCCACCGAATATAAGGTACCCGCATTTGTAGCCTGGCCGAGGATCTTCCCCGAGGTCAGAGATACTGATTGTACAGATCTGTCTGCCAGTGCTGCAGGCATGCGAGGCCAGCAGGAGGTCAGAGCTGGAGCTCTGTCCTCCACTTTGATGATTCTACTCGAAGGGGGCGTGTGCACATTTACCCACTCGCGTTCATGACAAATTGTTCATTCTTGCGCAATCTCGCCCGAATCTGTGACTATTTTTGCCGTCTTCCGGATCCGAGCCCGAATCTCCACAAGCTTATCCGAGCTCCTCATTGTCTTGAGCTTTGGTTTGCCGAAAGCCGTCATCGTGAGACGGGCATTTTGGAGACACCTGGAGATTAGAGCTCAGCTTTTTCCTTGAATACATCGTTCCGGTGTAAACCCTAACCTCTCTTTGATCGCCCGTTTGATGTCGAAACGCAACTTCCGATCGGACAAACTATGCTCGTATCGCTTTGGAAATGAGGTTGTAAGGCTTCTCGGGTCTGGAGAAGTAACATTGGATGCAGGTTTTCGTCCCAATGTCATATGTAGAGATCGCTACATGCGGGCATTGATTGCATATAATTACGTCGAACAAAATCTGCCGCTGTCGTTTAAGTCGAATACGATCGTGAGAAATAAAGCACAGTTCATATACAACTCACGGCAGAAAAAGCATTGATAGCCAGCGTCTCTGCTCAAGGAGGCAGATACAGATCCCACGCCATTCCAGCTTTAAGATTCACAAGATGCGCTTTCTTCCAATCAAATGTACATTGTCGCCTGCTGTCGCTTCCACCCGCGAACCGCAAACAGTGAAAATTCCTTCCGTCGGCGCCAGAAGCACCGCTAGATGCAGAGTCAGCAACATGGGAAATTCATCAAAGCAGCGCATGGTCAGATTTGGCCATGTCTGGAACTCACTACGACGACAGTCAAGCTGATAGCAAGGACGAATCTCGAAGCTCGCGTCGCTATTATCGCAAGTTTCTGTCTCTACTTCCCGCTCTCCTTCCTTACCTTCTGTTCCCTCCTTATTCTCTCACTGGGTCCTCTTTGTCGCTGTCTTTGTGGGGTCCGGACCTTCCAGCACCCTCCCTGATGTCAACAACACCAGCAACAACAGCGACACACCCGTGCTTTCCGTCGCGGGTGACGTTGGAGACCCAGTCCTGTGTGGAGCTTGTCCTGTCCTAAAGCTTCACCAAACCCGAGACTAGAGCGGCATGATGGAGTCGCTACCGGTGTCGAGATGAGCGGGTTTGGTTAAGATCGCCTTGAGGTCGAAGCAAAGGTCGAATTAAGTGGAGCACAGTGGTCTTGGAGAGAGAGAGAGAGAGAGAGAGAGAGACAAGAAGGGCCGGACAGGGTCAGGGGCAAGCGGTGGCGATCAGTGGCAGAACACAGGAGAATTTAACGAGGAAATCGTGAGGGAAGAGCAGAAATTCTGGGACAATAGGGCTGAATTGCTGACGACGAGAGAAGAGTAGAGCGCGAGGAGCGATGGGGAAAGGAGATCGAGAATCGTTGGCGGTGCTGGTTGCCGGGCTGCAAAATGAGCTCAACAGGAAGAACACATTTGAGGGCGCTGTAGTCTCTCTGACGTGTATGTTTCGGGATCTATATAAATCGGCTCCTGCACCTGAACGACAAGCGGTACGATCTGCTCTTTGAATCTGATGTCTGTCAAATTCGCTTTTATAGCGATGATGTTTTGGATTGTGGACAGAGAAGTTACCTTGCCGGGGAAGAATTTTATTATGGCTGTAAATGTTGTCTCATTGTTACTCCTGTGGAAGATGCAAACTGTTCTTTGGGCCACAGCATATCACACGCTTGATGAGTCTCAATTGCTTCGCTTGCTCAAAGTAGTTAAGAAATTGAGTTTTCTAATATGTAACTTTGAGGACCTAGATGGATGAGGAGGCTCAATACAGGAGAGCATTTCCAACTTTCTTGTCAGTGGGGGATTTTTAAGATATTTTTTGCGATTTTTAGTGGAGATTGATTAGACTAGCCACATGCTATGTCCTCGAATCGAAGGCAAAGTTTCTGTGCGGGTGGTGGTAGTCGCAGTCGCAGATTTTTCATCTGTATGTTTCTCAGCGTGTTTATTTATTTTTTAGCGCGATACCACAATCAAGTTGTATAGAAAACGACTTGAACACGTCATCGACGTGAGTTTGGTTTTCTGAATCATTTGTGTCACTATAGTATTATTTTGCTTTGCTTCTTTGTTTGAACTGTTGGCTGAGTAATTATCAAACATCAGAGAAAGTCTTCATTGAGGAATTTTGGCCTTGCAGCAGAGTTCTCCTTAAGGTACCTGCTGAAGAACAACCCTGTGAAATCTTACAGTTCATTTGACATATCCTTCTTAAATTCTGGCGGATTCTACAAGCATGTAGCCTGTGTTATTAATGGAAAGTTTGAAGCTTTACTGATAACCCAATTGCTTCGTTCTTCAAATCCTTCGATACTTGCCTGCTTTTATTGATATCTGGAGGTTGCATTTTTATGTGAAATTATTGGGAATATACTTCAACACATAGGTTGCGGTGAATTTTTTCCGTGGCTGAAAGGGATGAACCATATTTTCCAGATGTACGCAGCTGCTTGTCGTGCAGAAAGACTGCTTCAGAGTCGTTATACATCTTCAGCGTTCTGGAAGGCCGGTTTGAAACTTTTTCAACAAGCTGAAGCTATGCTGACTGAACCAAAAGAGAAGAGGAATATGCAAGGCTTCGTTCAGAAAGCACGGGTATATCTTGGGGAGCAGACGGAAAGGGAGACATTACCCCCACATATGAGAGCAGGAACAAGTAATGGCTTCGTTCTTTTTTTCATTCTTGCTCAATCTTTGCTCTTTTAATGTTAAATAGGTGCCTCCTTGCTCTTTTCTGTCCTGTCTCAGAATAAATTCATGACTTTTGGCTTAAATCGCGCATTCGAGAATATCTTTCTCTCGTTATTCTGTCTGGGATCAAGGGACTGCAATGAAAAGGCTACCACATTATTGTTGTTGCAGTTTTCCTGATCGGATTGCAAAGTCTATTGCAATTGTAGGTTCAGGTGGATTTCTATTCGAAGGACAGCTCACGATGGGACCAGAGCCTCCAAGACATGCCTGGTCTGCCATTAGGGATACTTTGCGAGAGAATGCAACCAGGCTATTTAACAGCAACGATCCAAATGTTGAGCAGGACGTCACGCGTAGACTCCAGAATATATTGAATAATGCTCGAGATGGCAATGGCCTTCCAGGTCAAAATCCTGAATTTGTTGGCTTGGAAGAGGCTATCGCTGCGACGCTTGCTGTGAGTTTTTCTGCGAAAACTCCACCAAGTTCAGAGATTTTCTGATTATTTTTTTCAAGTTAGTCTCTCTTAGTATCAAAGGCAACAGCTTGCGTCTTGTCTAGCAAGTAAATAATGTTTTCAAGTTTATATTTCAAGTTTTTGTTTTGAAACGGCTGGATCATTTCAACTAGCTTACTGGAAAGAAAGGTCCAGCGGTTTGTCTAATACGTGTTCATCTACCTCTACATTCATCACCGATTATCGGAAATGTTGTTTGAATCTCCATTCGAAACCCATCAGGCAGAAGTATTATGTCGGTTACTCTTCCATTGAGATGCAGAGTGCCTGCTGATTTGTTCCTGCCTTCTTTTTACTGGCGTTACAGGAGATTGGAAACATGCCCCGTGGTCCTCCTCCTGCATCCAAAGCTGAAGTGGCAAAATTACCTGTCCTCGAAGTAACTGAAGAGATTTTAGCCCGCGTCGGTCAAGGTGCCGAATGTGCTGTGTGCCGAGAGGTGCTGACCATTGGTGACAAGATGCAGGAGATGCCTTGTAAACACTCATTCCATCCGGACTGCTTGAAGCCATGGCTGGTGAGTAGAAAGTAATGCCTTCGTCTGATCATTCGTGTGTTGTACTGCTGTGATTGCTGTTGAGACTGCTCTGTTATCTCATATCCTACTCTGCCGGTTGCAGGAAGCACACAACTCATGCCCGATCTGTAGGTACGAAATGCCGACCGACGACCGAGAATATGAATTGCAGAAGGAACGTGACCGTGAATTTGAAGAGGACAGAAAGGCACGTGAGAATGCACTTCCCGGTGGAGAATATATGTATACCTAAAACAGTTGTTTTCTCCTCCTCCTGAGCTTGTAAATAACCCTTTCTTCAAAAGTCTGAAATTCTTGTAGACTGTCACCGTAGACAAGAAGTGCCCTTTTCTTTGACTTCAGAGAAGAGTTTCTGATTTGTCAAGGAAATGGAGGTGATTGAGAATGATATATATCGGTAGTAAATATTCTCTGTTGAGTTAACGAAAACTGAAAAAGTGCCAATTTCTTCTTTTTTATGATCTGATTCAAACTCGTGGTATTTCGTCTTCATTGTCGAGTTGATGGAATATATTCTCGTATCATTGTGAAGAGGCTACAGTAGCCTGCCTTCCCGTGCATTTGGTATTTAAGGCATGATGTCCCTCTTTGACAGGTATATACTGAAATGCCAGTGGATTTCATGACTCTTGTTTAATCTGACTATTTTATGGACAAAATATCGGTTTTACCAAATTGATCTGAGTAAGCACGCAGTCTGTTGTTTCTCCCGGTTTTTCAGCCAAGAGCTCCCGGTCTTTTTTTATCTTCCATCAAAATTGAGCAAGAAGTGACATGGAATTTTCTTTGACAACAGCAAGGCACCGTCTTTTCTGAAATAGAGCAGACGGGTTGAAGCTAGAAATAACGAGATATCAGCAGTAAATTTGGTAGAAGATATATGTAACAAGCTTCATATATTGCTCCGAAGAACAGATGACTTGATAATGGCCTTTCTCCCGCTAAATGTTGACGATCTGAATTACGCCCTCGTTTCGAATATGCGCAAGAGCAACATCGTGTTGTTGACGAGAACTTATAAACGTGACGGTACTGTGCGATCTATATATTAACGTTTGATTTTTACATATTTAAGTGTAGGTGACAAGGAGATTTTTCATGGTAATCTTATTGCCTAACTCATTCATATAATGAGGAAGGTCGCTGTTATTGCTCGTAATTGCGGAAATTTCTCTAGTGGATTATCCAATTTACACACAATCGTATGAGCATGCCACGAGAAGATTGTAGTGGGCCTAGTTTGTTAGAATCTAGTCACCCGTAAATTACAGCTTAAGGGATTGCCGCAAAGTGTTAATGGACATTTTGGTGCTTCCAACGTCATATGTAAGTTGAAAGATTTTGGGATCTACAATGTGCAAATTTGGAAATCACTAAGAAGGGATCACAATAGTCAAGAATCACATGCCTCTACAAACCTTCGAACGAAACCGCACTTTTTCAACCAGTATTTCGGTGAGGGACGTTTTGTGAGTCATAGTATGTCCAAAGCAGAAGATACTGACATCATTGGAGTAGCTTTTCTTATAAGAGTCACCGTTTCACGTATTTATTGTTGGTGAAGATGTCAAGTTATGTCTTCTTATTTGCAAAAGCATGTGTATGTTTAGTCCTCTCTTTGAGTAATTGGTTTTGTTACGATCGTTCGACTTTCATGTATTAAGTATAATGTAACGTCCACTTCCTGCAAGGCTGCCATTGAAATTCAGTGTAACTAAGAGGATGTCTATTTAAGATCAGGTTAATGTCTAATACTTTGGATCTCGCCTGTTCATGATACAAAGTATGAAAAATGTTTTATGTTGCGAATCCAAAGCCTACGTCTTGGATGGTGAGCGTAAAAACTTACATTGAAGAATTATAAACTGATTGATAACGGTCTTTTATATTCCGGAAAACGTAAAGCATGCTTAACGCGTTTCATTATTACTATTCTTTTATTTTGAATAATTTCTGTTTGTACATTTTCTAAGTTTTTTTGGTCTCGAAAGTCCTGTTCAGATTGGACAATAAATTAAGGGAGCCGTTAGTCATCTTTCATTTGGGTCTAATTAACCCTCACTCTATCATAAATTATTCTCTAATTGATCCATGCAAGATTAGAGGGTTGGTGGGTGAATAGCAACTATTTCCAATTATCTTTCATTTGGGGCTAATTAACCCTCACTCTATTATAAATTATTCTCTAATTGATCCATGCAAGATTAGAGGGTTGGTGGGTGAATAGCACCTATTTCCAAACTGAATGTTCGACCAATCAGAGAAGAGATTAGAGTAGGGTGAGGGCTAATTAACCTTAAGTGAAGGATAACTAGCCCCTCCCTAAATTAAGCCATTTATCCATGAGGAACATTTTTCAATTTCTGCATGCTTCATTGTGTACCCTCGTGGAGCTAGGAGAAGTGCAACATTTGTCCGTGGATGTAAGGGAAAGTAAATAATCGACGGAATAAAGTATAAGGCAACGTCTAGTCGTGAAGAATTGGCTACACTATGTGGTTTGAGACGTAAAAGAACTTGGATCAAAACATGCCAAGAAAAAAGGCGGAAGAATTTCTTGCAGTCCTAAAGTGTACGTAGTGAAATCGAGGCATAATCTACTGCATTTGAGCTTTCGAAGCAACAATCTTTGATAAATTTAGTCTCATTAATATATATCGTGATATTCTAATCACCTACTCTGTGTCAATGATAATGCTGTGTTTGCTTAAAACAAACTTGAAATACGTTTTCTTTGTAGACTGTAAGTTTCATGCAAAACTTCTTCTGCATACATAAAGTTTTACAAACAATCAAGGTATGGATAAATGGGAAATCTAAAATGGATTTTGAAGGTCTACTTGTACCTTAAGTGATGTGTATTTCAAAATTTCACATAAAAAAAAATACAGTACATTGTTCCAAATATACTGTATCACATTCTACCCGGGATACATCGAACAGATCACTGTAGTAATATTATACATGTTTTTAACAATACGCACATCACAGATAAAAAATAAAATTGCTACTATCTGCTAAACTGGTACTCAACATCGAGGCACATGCCCCGCCTGTCGTAGTGGCTCTGTCACTCGAACATGAGCTAAATAAGGCTTTCGCGGCGTTTCCAAACTAGTACAGCCCAACTATCGCTCGCTTGGAATGAAACAGGAGTAAGGTAATAACATATAACACTCGGAGGTGTAACTGTAAGAGAGGGCAGGGAGCATATCTGGCAGATCTATGAATGTGATTCAGGACAACACTGGAGCTTGTCGGATGTCGGATTGGCACTTTCCTCCTCCTGTTGAAAGTGACTAATGCCCTTCAAGCCTTCAAGTACGGGCGTGACGTGACATGATCGGTCAAGCGGCCCGTCATTCTGCCGGGACTTATCGGCTGCACCCAACCGGGCCCACCAACAGGGAGACGGACATGTGAAAGTTGGAACCGGATATTGAGTGTCAACGGAGTTACAGGCCAAAATTGCTACCGAATATAGGGTGCCCACAATTTGGTCTAGGGTTTCTTCCGCCAGGCCGATGATGGCTCTTTTCTCCTGCTGCTGCTCCTGGGAGGCGAGGAGAGGGCATTAGCTCTGTCCTTGTGATCTGTTTGGCCTTGTCTTCGCGGCTAGAAGCGGTGCGGTTGAGAGGAGGTGGTGATGCGACGTTCTCCTGGTTTTTTTCTCACGATTGGTATGTTTTTTGCTTTGTGTTGCTTGAAATCGCGTTGTTGCAGTCGTTGTTTTCCTCCTTTCAGCTTTGCGTGAAATTTGGAGCCGATACTCACGAGAATGAGGATGAAGCGGTCTCATGCGATGAATCTTTTGCGTTCTGACTGTCGTCAGCTTGTCTTGCGATGACCTTGGTATTCACAACGGGATGGAAATTAGGAGTACGTCAAGAGGGCGTCTTTGATATGCTTTGATTTAGAACCTTCTTTGAAGTCCTTCAGTCTTATCGTCCGGAGTCAGATGGAAGCATGGCTGCTCCGTCCCGAGTTAGCAGATTGGACGCTTGATCTCTTCTCTGTTTCTGTTTCTGTTCCTTCCCGGAGTATGTGCTACCTAGTATCCTTTTTTTTTTTTTTTTTGTAGAGATTGAGATTACGGGAGGCGAGATTTTTACATTAGACGCATCTTTACAAAAGCGCTCTTTTAGGATCTGAAAGAATTTGAATGTGTTATGAACGACCGACCAACTGTGATGGTTAGCCAGATTCGCAAGTTTATGTTAGGTTGATCTGTTGTTTTCCCGAAAGTGGAACCGATGTTCCACCACATTCATTCGGCAGAGGAAAGCTGTAGGAAATGGCAAGAACAGGCAGTTTTCTTCGTGCGTTGGGTCCTTCTTCCTGTTTCGGCTTGTTGTGCACTCAAAGTGATACTCTAAGGATTCTTGTTGTGATTCACTGACTCAAGCTGAGTAGTCTTTTCTCAATTTCACGGAATCGTGACTTGGTCGATGTATGTGGATCAGATGCCAAATTCGAGACTACGGATTGCGTAGAAAGTGAGCAGGAGAAGAAGCTGTCGGAATCGCCCCTTTGGAGTTGGCAAAACTACTAAAGCATCTCCTCTCACGCCCTTATCGGCCTTCAAGGTATTAGCGCCTCTTTCATTCGATCTGCTTTGTCGCCTTGTTTTCCGTCCTTTCCAAGTATTTACTTGGGCGAAAAGTTCAATTGTTTGTGACGTCGTGGCCAAGACAATCAGACTGATCTGATTTACAATCGGATCATTGCGGAATATTGCGCAATTGCGAATTTGGAAGATTTTTTTGAGAGAACTCGAAATGCAAACATCAGCGCTCTTGTCATGATTTTGTGTCTTTCGAAGCAGAGTCGCAACGATGACCTGAGCATTGTCTATGAACACTGAAGCAATGGATTGTAATGAAGGTGTTGAGTTTGTGAAGATTTTAGGGTACTCTCCGTTGGCATCTGCCCTCGTGTGATGGTTTGTTTGCAATGTTGACTATTGCCTCGACATTCGCTTTTGAAGTTCCTTTTAGCACGCAAAAGGTTCCTGTCGAAACTGAGATCGATAGGCCTAAATAGATTACATTTGCGGCTGATACACTGTCGCGAGTATTCCATGTTCTGAGTCGTGAGATGCTGTCAACTTGTGGGGATTTAATCAATTAAGCAAGCCTGTAGATATTTTTCTCATCTTGTGAAGAAGTTGGGATGTTTTTTGTTGTGTGCACGCAGTTCTTTATCGAACCAGCTCTGACTTTTGCCTGTGCTGTTTTCTGTGCTCTAAAATTTATTCCTGAGTGAAGAAATGTTGTCACGCAAGCAATCAGGCTCAACGTACGTCATATTGACTCAATTTTTCTTGAAGTTTTTATGGCAGATTATATCCTTCTTCCCACTTCTTCTGAGTGTAGGCGATAGGAATAGGTGTGCGACGTTGCTAGTGTCGGGATGGGTTACAAAAATTACAGCGATGAGGAGGAGGAGGATGACGATGTAGAGGAGGAGGAAGCTGAAGATGTAGAAGATGAAGAAGAGGAAGTTGAAGAAGAGGACGAGGAGGAAGAGGAGGAGCGCAGCCGCAAGCGCAAATTTAAAGGTTCTCAGTTTATAGACGACGTTGCGGAGGAGGATGACGATGAGGATGAAGAAGAGGAAGAGGCTCCGCGGAAAAGAAGGCACAGGCGAGCGTCAGAATTCATTGATGACACCGCCGCTGTTGCCAGTGATGATGATGAGGAAGAAATGGAAGGGGAAGAAGGTAAGCCATATTTCAGAGAGGCTTTAACGCGTGGAGGCTTAGGGTGCTTTCAGATTGTTTTCAAGCCTTTACAGATTAAATGCCCTCCGCAAAAGTAACAACAGATAGTTGGTCCATAGAAGCTATCTGTGCTGGTCCTGTTGGACGCAGATAGTAGATTTGTAGAGACGTATAGCCGTGGCTTTCATTTGCACTGAGCTTAGTCCAGTATTTTTGTTTATATTGACTGTTCCTGGTGGCTCGAGCAGACTTTATCCACGATGAAGGTCCAGACTTAGCCGATGAGGAGGACAGGGGAAGAAAGCATCATCGTGCTATGTTACCTGAAGATGATCAGCAGGAAAATGTGGAGGACCTTGAAAAGTTTATCCAACAAAGATATGGACGACAGGAGTATGAGGAGTTTGATGAAGCTGAAACCACTGATGTGGAACAACAGGCCTTGCTACCTTCGGTTAGGGATCCCAAGCTATGGATGGTCAAGTGTCAGGTACTGTCCTGCACAAAATGTAGAAAAAACTGGGATATATTTTGTTGCTACCTGCAAAGTAGGTTTATACAGCCTCTACGTACAATGAGGTTGTAATTCTGTAAAGACATGTCAACTTCTACTATCGTTCTTTCTTGTTGTGACCATCACTTTCAGTCATGATCTCCGACAAACCGGATTCAGAGACTGAGTGAGGGTAATTTACTTTCACGTGTTCTGTTTATCCTGACTCGCAAATCCATGTGCAGATTGGTCATGAGCGGGAAGCATCCATTTGCCTCATGCAAAAGTTTATGGACATGGACATGCAAGGGAAGCCCCTACTTATCAAGTCAGCAATCGCTTTGGATCACCTCAAAGGCTATCTGTATGTGGAGTCCGAGAAGGAGGCTTATGTCAGAGAGGTATGTATTATCGGAAAGTTACATTTAATCTGGTTTGTTTAACTCAGTTGTGAACAAATTTATGAGAATTATCGTCTAGTATGTGACGTCTCATACATCCACAACCCCCCGAGGACTTGAAAAAGCGACTCAGTTTTTCTTAGTTCCTCTTCAGTTGCAGCGAGACTTACTTCTAACACTGATTTCAAAGAAGGAAATCTGGTGTCCGGCAGTTCAAGGAGGATACTGACGATGTCATCTTTTACTTTCGATAGTGTTAACGATATTGATATCCCTTTCTTTCTTTAGCAATGTTCGAAACTGAGTTAAATCCATATTCTGGCTTGCAGTCTATCAGAGGAATGCGAATGATATTGCAACGGGAAGTAAAGTTGGTGCCAATAAAGGAAATGACTGATGTGCTATCAGTTGAAAAGAAGTCGGTTGATATTGATCAAGACACTTGGGTTCGCGTGAAGAATGGGGTATATAAAGGCGATCTTGCAAAGGTATTATTTAGATGTATTGCGTACAGTAGATTTCACTAGATTTATACTCAAGTTCCTTTTGAAGTGCTCCACTTGAGTATGGATCCTTGTATTTGCTTAGTCAACATCACCTATGTTTTTCGCGGGTATGGAGTATATATCCCTACCGAGTCGCCAGGAATTTTCTGGCCGGGTTTCACCTTCCGCGTTATCCATCGAGGACATGGAAGTTTCTGACGGTGAAGTAGGAATCTATGCGTGCCTAGTAGTAATGATGGAGATGGCGACACTCACTACCGTGTCTTAAAAAGTTTCCAAAGTGTATTTCACCAGTCCCTACGTATTGTTCTCCAAAATCTATTTCCAAAAAACTAGATTACAAACCTACAGTATAAATTATCTCACCTTCATCCGTTGGATTGTCAGTATGTTTCGTCCGGTCGATAGTCTGACATCGCATGTATCCGTCAACAGGTTGTGGACGTGGATCATGTGAGGCAGCGTGCCACCATCAAGCTGATACCCAGAGTTGACCTCCAAGCTTTGGCTCTCAAGATGAATGTAAGTTGATTACTCTAGACATTGTCTTCCATATTGATTTGGTCCAAAGTAGAGTGCTGTTTCAAGCATAGACGTTTGAAACGGAATTTTGATCGTTTCGGTAATCTGTACTTTCATTGATTAATTTGTATCTGAAACTATTGCATGTTACATGTCTTGTATTCTATATCTGTAATTACGTACTGTCCTTCATATTTTTATTCCCGTACTATTTTACAACGCTTGTCAAAGACATCCTCGCTTTTGATCTCGTTAACTTCTCGAAAACTTTTTTTTACACGCGAAGTGTTTTTTTTATGCAGGAAGGGTCAATAAAAGGAAGTAAAGATGACGCTAAGAATAGGCCAAGACCTGCACCTCGGTTTATTAACGTTCAAGAACTTCAGTATGTATCTCTCCAACGTCTTAGATTCGTCTGAGGGAGATGGTTGGCTCTTTCTACGCAGTTTGAAACAAAGGACTCCTCTTCGTAGAATGCCATTTTGAAGTAAACTGAGGGGAATAGCTTGCCTTTTATTCCGTGTTTCGAAGCCGAGAATTTAATACTTGTGACAAGCCTATCGCCATTGAGAGAAATATCCTCTTATCTAGACACTTGAAATGGGCCCCTGTCAGATTGCCTGTAGTTTAGACATTCTTCGCCAAGAATGAGCAGCCTGTTTGACAGGGAGTTTTATTTCAGCTTGCAATATTTGACAATCAAAATGTTCTTTTTCCAGGGATTTGAAAATATCAATCGAGAGGAAGCGTGATCCTAATCACGCAGGAGAATATTTCGAGTTCTTTGGTGGCATGCAATTTAAGGACGGTTACTTATACAAGGGTGTATCTTTGAAAAGTATTGACTCGAATGGTGTTGTGCCCTCGTTCGATGAACTCCAAAAGTTCCAGAAACCAACCGATGAGGGTGGCCCCGATACCATGGGGCTCCCAACTGCTTTGATGAGCAAAAGGAAGGGTCTGTTTGTCAAGGGTGATGCAGTCATAGTTGTACAAGGAGATCTCAAAAACCTCATGGGATATGTTGAGAAGGTGGATGACGATGATGTCTTTGTTCGACCCAAAGATAAGGAGCTCAAGGTAATGAACGTGGAGTCACTGCCTCACATAGTGCAAGTTTACTATTTGAAGCAGTAAATTGTACATCGTCTTCAACTTTTAGTACAATTCAAAGCACCCATTAGAAGCAGCTACTAGTAGAAGAGAAGAGTAAATTTGATGCCTCAGCAGGACTTTCGGAGAATTGCTCGTTCTGATGAATGGATCGTTTCGTATGGACTGAAGGATTTACAGTTGCATACGGATAGTTGGACTGATGGGCATTAATGCATCCTACACATTAGAATATCCACAGCACGTACCTTGACGGCTCCCGTTCCGATTTGAAGTATTTCTAATGCCTCGTCTTTTGTTTCCTTTTCTAATCTATCCAGGGCAGTACACTGGCGTTCAAGGATAGGCAGTTGTGCAAGTTTTTCAAAACTGGTGATCATGTGAAAGTTGTTGCCGGTACTCACGAGGGTGCAACTGGAATGATCGTCAGAGTTGATTTAGGGAGTGTTGTCATTTTGTCCGATACGACGAAGGAGGATGTAAGTAATCATTCAGTTTTTGACTTCACCAAAAGTATGCTGAAAAATAAATTGTTTTCCTTCACTACTTCCTACTCATTTAACTTACCTTGGGAGTGTGTGTTGTACCTCCTCATCAGATTAAAGTGTTCACAGCAAATATTGTGGAAAGTTCTGAGGTCACATCAGGATTGAACAAACTGGGAGATTACGAGCTGCATGACCTTGTCCTGCTAGAGTAAGTATTTTGAATGCTGAATTATCTGAAGTTCTTTCGATGAAAAGCATCTCTGTTTGCTTCTATTTGTACGTTGAATTCTCAGATGATTAGGGCAATAGTTGTTATTTTCTAGCATATGATTTGTGAAGCAATCTTTACTGAAATGCCTTTTTTTTTTTAATATGCAGCCAGTCGACGGTCGGAGTGATTGTTAGAGTGGAGAAGGATAGTTGTCAGGTAATCACTTCGTCTTCGGATTTTTTACGTGTTATTCAGTCTGAAGTTTTATTTCAATCTTGTTTTTGTCACTGTTACTAAGAGTATAGTGCATCAACTGTCTGTCAATCGGATGAAATAAACAGGTATTGAAAGGTACACCCGAAAGAGCCGAAGTTGTTACTGTCAAGCTCCGTGATATGAGGAAGAAGCTATTTGACCGTAACACGAACGCCCAGGATAGGGACTCCAACGTAGTCTCTCTGAAAGATATTGTTCGAGTTGTGGAGGGCCCTTTCAAGGTTATTTCTGCTGATATTTGTAGTAATTTAGAATCACATCTGTTCAAGGACACTTTCTGGGACTATACTATAACGGATAACTTGAATGGATATATGAGGAGACGTGCTTAAGAGATGGGTTATGTTGTTTGTGTTCAGTATGAGCCTCTAGTGTATCTGTGCTATCTTCTGATTCTGATCGGTATTTTCTGCTTTGCAGGGAAGAGAAGGCCCTGTGGAACATATCAACAGAGGCATTTTGTTCATTCATGATCGTCATCACCTCGAGAATGGAGGTTTTTTGTGCGTAAGGGGGCTTTGGTGTGTTGCTTTGGGGGGTTCCCGTAATGGGATCGATCGAGGAGGGGTAATTTCTTCATTTTCAATTGGCTTCCACCCGACTTGTTAAAACTGTGACTTTTGGATTGTATTCTGTATCTTCTGCAAATGTTAGGAAGTTCAACTTCGTTCCTCCCCCTACAAAATATTGCATTCCCGTTTCAGAAAGCTCGCTTTTTCATTCGAAGGGCAAAGAGAAAATCGTTTATAATACCTAAATTTTGAGAAGAGTTACCTGCAGCAAGGTATGGGTTAGCATGTAACTATCCGACTTTCTTTTGTTTCCAATTGTGCAGAGACAAGCACGTAATAACAACTTCAATGGTGGTTTTCAAGCACCTGCGAATTACTTGCAGTCTCCGAGACGTACTCCTAACCACTTCAATCATCCAGGTGAAACTCTTGAGTTAGTCTTGTTCTGACTTCTTTTATCTCTCTTTCTTCATGCCTCTACGAATAAACCCATGCAAAATTTGAATAAATGCACTACATGAGAGATCCTCTTCGCTGTGCTCAGTTTTTCCCCTCCTCATTACTGGCATCTCGTTGTTTTTGTTGATGCTGATATTCTGTATTGATGGTCGTCAGCGACACTTGATCCTTTTAATCTCAATCTTGGGGAACCTATGTGCAGGCGGAGGTGGTGGTCATGGTGGTAGTACATTTGGTGGCCGACAAGCAGGTCGCAGAAGAGATCATGGTCTGGTCGGCACGACAGTAAAGATACGGATTGGTCCTTTCAAGGGTTATCGTGGCAGAGTTGTGGACGCGACGGATATTGATGTCCGAATTGAACTGGAGTCGCAAATGAAAGTAGTGACAGGTGTGTTTTTCACTTCGGCTCCAAAGCGGGTCTTCCGTTTCTCGTCTTAAAGGATACTTCATTTATCGAGGCAGTCATCACTTTGCAGATTTCTAAAACTATCTCTTCTCGCATTTATCATATTGCTGCGCAGCTCATGCATCTCGGTATCTCTATCCTGTCTTGCAGTGCGAAGGGACCAGTTGTCTGATCCAGTCGGGACACCTTACCATAATGGTGGTGGAGCTTCGTACAGGTAAAATTTGCCTTAGTATCGCTGATGTTAGAGTCTCTTCACCTTGCAGTATGTTGATTACAACGTTGTGAGACTGAATGTATAATAATACTTTCTGTCCTGTACATGGACTCAGGGAGTCACCACGATACGGTGCTGGTAGCGAAACGCCCATGCATCCGTCAAGAACTCCAATGCATCCTGCTTTCATGACTCCCATGAGAGATCCGTCAGGTAATTTCTTTCATTGTGCTGATTTGTCTAGTAGTTACCTGCTTCCAAAATCCCTCTTACTAACCTGTTAGACATACTCACCACTGACACGAAGCTTCCTGGCGCAGCTACGCCTATTCATGATGGTATGAGAACCCCAATGCGTGACCGTGCCTGGAATCCTCACACGGCAATGAACACGCCTTTGAGGTATGTCAATTTCCTTGGAACGCTCTTTGGCCTTTCACCTCCATGGTTGGAGAATCAAAGCAAAATCATTCCGTGTCTTGTATTTGCTAACATGCGTTACCATCACTCATGTCAGGGACAACAGTTGGGACGATGCAAATCCCAGCACTTGGGGCCATAGTGGAACTCCGCAGTACCAGGTGAGGCTTTTTGGCAAGCTTCCTCCTCGATATAGGTCAAGAATATCGAGAATGCAGCTATTTGTTCTTGATGGGTTTTGCTAAATCTGGCCTTTTGTGTGGAACAGCCGGGGACACCAGGTGGAAGACAGTACGAAGCACCAACTCCTGGTGGTGGAGGATGGGCAAATACTCCGGGTGCTAGCTTCAGTGAAGCTGGCACGCCAAGCGTGAGCACGGGCCCCAGTTATGGTGAGTTACAATCGGATTTTACTAGATAACCCTTCCTTTTTGTCCAATAGATCTTCTGTCAAGCTCAACAGTGTGAAGTTTCTCGCGTCTCTAGGAAATTCGTTAAGCCATCGACAGAAGGAGCGATCAATGTTCATACATTCGTGACAAGTGACTCTTTATGAATATTGAATTGACCCTTTTCTTGTATTATTGGTATATTATTATGAACAAATTCTAATACACCCTATTTATTTGTGTACCTTTGTACAGGTAATCCTGCTAGCCCATATCTTCCAGGTACACCGGGTGGACCTCCTATGACACCAGGCGTGCCCAGTTACCTACCAAGCACACCTGGAGGCCAGCCAATGACCCCTGGCACTGGAGGTCTTGATCCGACGTCACCTGCATCAGGTACTGGTCATAGTCCAAATATAATGTTGTGAGGCTCCGCGTGACTTCAATTTTCCCTCGTTGAGTAAATTTGTGGCTTATCAGATGTCGCGTAACACTACAAAGCATATTAGAGGAGAATTTTGGCTGATCTTATCGAGATCCCGATGCCTTGATTTGTACAGGATTGTCGGGTCTCGAGATAGAAAGTAAATGGGGATTACCTGAGATTGTCGTCACTGTCCGAAAAGCGGGCGAAGAATCTCAAATTGGTGTCATTCACGAAGCCATGCCTGTAAGTTTTCTAACATAAGGACCAAACAAGTGTACTTGATCTTTTGTAGCCGTCGTTTTGAAGCGAGACTGAAAACTACGAGAACCCAGACTAATTTTACCTTCCGTCTGTTTGTTGTTCAGTAGCTCATGATATCTACAACTTTTCGGTGCTGACTAATGGGGTTTGTGCTACTTTTGAAACAGGACGGAACCTGCAGAGTTGCTATGGGACCATCTGGAGAGGGCGAAATCATCGTAGCTACGCATTCAGAATTGGAGCTGGTTGTACCAAAGAAGACCGATCGAATCAAAATAGTTTCTGGCGAGTTGCGGCGTAGTACTGGAAAGTTGATTGGTATTGATGGTGCCGATGGTATTGTAAAGATGGACGATACTTTAGACATTAAGATTCTTGATATGAGCAGCCTGGGCAAAATGGTTGCAAACTAAGTACGAGAACGACCGTCGGAAGTTACTGTTTGCGTACATGTTAAGAGCATGTACTGCTTTGTACCATACTATGGCGTAAGTATTGTGAATCAAGTGTGTTTCTGTAAAGAAGCAGAGTATTTTATAAAACCTTTGAAAGCCCTTGTTAATCTTTTGTTTAGTGGTGTTGTGGAGCAATGGGTTTTACTTTCCTCTCTTCACACTACCCATGTAGGATACAATATACAATCGCCTCACGAAGCTTTTCCTCAAGGTAACATCTGTAGAAGACATCTCACATATATCCAGCATTTGTTCTCAGTTGGTAGCCGATAAAGCGATGTTTAGACACAATGACGTTGCATGTACCTGTGAGGAGGCATACTGCCTGAAATGGAATACATATCGTATCCTACATGCATAAATTCTGTTTGTTAGGAGAGCCACTGATAAATCGGTGACGTACAGCAGCCACGGTGACTTAAGGTGGTTACGGTTAGATAGTCCATGGTCTCTGGCTTCGATTGGTTGTAATTGTCACTTCGTTCTGCCCTAGTAGTGACTGGAGTGATAATACTTATTGAAGCTTTTGCAGCGAGCGGACGATGTATGGATCTTCGGGGAACTGATATGAGAATAAATATATACTCCGAATGCAGTGCTTGTAGTAGTTGGTTCCTCACTCGGTGAATGTTATTTCCATAGGCTGCAGAAAGACCGTGTACACCCTTGTCTTTTCCAGTTGCGGTTTTTCCAGGCAACAAACAGCTTACTTCACGCACACCAAGACAGGATCTCAATCTTGTTTTCCTATCATGTCTTAGATGTCACAGGATTTCATTTTGGTCGTTTTCCACGCTCGCTGTGTACTCTACTGTCTAAGAAAGTAGCCGCGTGGATTCAGAGCCATTTGCAGGAAGACAGTTTCATGCTTTGATTATGAATATATACAGTCGAAACTTCCTCATCGCCTCTTTTTGCAAGACTAATAGAGTGGTATGTCAAGGATGTTGAACAAGCACTTTCGAGACGAAGCATATGAACTTTCTAGTATGTTACGGAGCTGTTCTAAGTGACGAATTCTATTCTAAGAAGTGAAATTATGTAGCTTAAAGTGTTCGCGCAAGTAGACTCTTGAGTAACTTTCTTGCGATGAGGAAAAATACCGGACCATTAGATCAATTGTTCCTGCAGATAATTCTTGTCAGTCTTCTCGTGCTCACAGAATCTCTCTGCCTACGATGTTGTGAAATACTGCAACATCAGATAAACTGTTCTGAAAGATATTTTCTTGTTAGTCTGTAAGTTTTCTAGTTTTCTTTTCGGACGAATGTACATTGGCCCATTTTAATACACATGGAGTAACAAGTTTCTTATCAAAAGGTTCGAAGCAGAATTTGATGATTCTCCTTGCTCTGAATCTTCATCTGTTTGTATCTGACGTCTGATTTGACTGAATTATATTATGTGTATAATGAAATATTTTTCTACCAAAATATATTGATCAATGTGATTAGATTCTCAAAACCTTACTATGAAGATTTGATGTGATTTGGCAAGATCGATTAAGTTTTTTAACGACAAATTCATAAAAAGTTATCAGCAGTAAGAATTCTTTTAATCTTTAATTCACCTGATGTACAATCAGCTTTAATAAATGAATCATGAAATAACCTGAAAGACTAAACATAAATAGCCATGAAGATAGATCATTCAATGGACTAGAAATTGCTGCGGTAGAGCTTCAGAATGTAGCACCAAGGAAAGAGTTCCAATAACATCTAGGTCAAAACTTGAAGCCTCAAAACCTACATCAAAACTAGATTCGATTCTTAGTTGAGAATCACGTATCGAAGAGATACATCTTCCGATATATTTGTATGAGAATCAGACGTAACGTGAAACCTTGAACATAAAGCTAGAATCGGGGCAGATCTACAATCCTCCTTGCAGAAGAAACAAAAATTTCAGTTTTGACGTTTGTCCTCCGTGTGAGAAACTCTAGCATTCATGTTGACATTGATAACTAGATTAGAGTATAGAATTTGATTCTTGTTCGGCGAAGATTAGAATATAAAACCTTATTCTTGCTCAACATAAAAAATGCTCACATGGCTTTGTCATTAGCATTTCCGTCAAATTGCTTTTGAAAAATGTATGAATGAAAAAATCTTCCTCTATTTGCTTTGTATCGTCCTCTCATTACACATAGCGAAGAAGAATAAGCTCTTTTTTGGTCCAAACAATAGCAACCTAAGCCGCAGCTCCGCCAGAACCTACATTGCACGGGGAGATGTAGTATAGCGCTCACTAAAAATCAGGGCTAAAATATCTCTAATAATAGCAGTAATATGAATATCAAGAGGACTTCAAATGAGATCAGATCTCGTAGAAATCTACTTTTTCATAAAAGCAAACGTCATGTAAGTACTAGAAAGATGAAGAGATTACTAGGCAGAATAAGATATGACAAGCTATAATTATGTCTTAAAATATTTTCTGTCATATCTTTGACGATACTTTATAAGTATACCAAGTGCTTTTTTCCAAACTTCAGCAACACCATCAGTTATTGACCCTAACCAGTTTTCTTAGAGAAATGTTTTACAGTTTGCTAGGCATCTAATATAAAAGTCCTTGTGATTTGGCTTGCAAACAAACTCCCATATGACAAGAGCAACTTTTGCATAGCACTCCTTGTCATATACCATCAAAATTGTTTATACATATGTTCAATATTTCTAAACACAGTAGTCAAAAAGAGCATCAAAGACGCATAAAAAGTAGGTTGTGCATGTAGTACGTGATGTAATAAAATAGTATGCAATTTGAAAAAGAGAAAAGTAAATCCACAAACACAAAGGATCTTGATCACCTTTTCAATGCAAAAATCATCATGATGTTTAGAGTTTATTTTCTTTCGAATAAAGGCACCAAGATATTTGTGTACCTTTCAAGCTTTCATTAGTTTGCAACCAACAAATGCTATCAAGTGTAGGGGTCAATCAACATCGAACAAAAGCATAAAAAAGTTGGCCAGATTTTGTAAACAAAAAATTAAAATAAATTTGACTCAAAATATTTATATAATTAGTTTAACTTGCATTCGTTATAACCGATACATAACGAGAGAATAATTATGTTGTTTGATAACTTCATATTGGCGATCTTGTATTGGTTAGATAATGAGAGAATAATTATGTTGTTTGATAACTTCATATTGGCGATCTTGTATTGGTTAGATAATGATTGAGTGCTAGTTAGTAAGGTCACGCCATCAATCCTTTAGTTTGTTGGGTTTATTCCACATTGTAAACTATGAACGACCAGCTTTGGTTTTGGAGCTCGTTTTGTTCGCGTCAAACACCGGATCGGAAAGACCCCTAGAATTTGAAATGTTCTTTGACTCTAGAGCCACCTTGGTCAGACCTGATTCAATTTCTAGGTGCTGTCAAAACGCCGGATGGAGATTCTGCTCATCTAGGCTCCACTTTGATAGGCTTTCTGTCGAGTGTCTTGCAGCTCACTACAGATACATGGGAGCGATCTCTGTCAGAGTGGCAAGACGTTGGCATGAGGTTGTGCAGATTCAAGATCAGACGCTTGCATAAAACTCTCGTAGTAAGTCCTTGTGCATAAGACCTGATCGCCAGTACCTTCCAGCTGATAGTAATCTGAGTTTCTCCAACACATTTACCGGAAGAAGCTTCAGTTGTTGGCTGTGAAAGGGATCCAGTTTCTTACATGCCGCTCCAGCTTGGTTGTGACCACTTTGACTGTTTCTGTGACCTACGGGCGTGGTGGTGGTGGGTCCTTCGATGGTGGGGATCGGTTCCAGATGGTTTTCCGATGCTTTTCGAGAAATTTCCCCTTTTCTTTATAATAATCTAAGCTTGAGGATATGCTTTTTGCATGTGCTTCTGGCTCGAGGATCACATCTCATGTTTCATCGAGTATTTTTGAAGTTTGAGACCTGCCGACTTCACTGTTCGGTGGGAGGGCAGCCTGGGATCTGTTCTGCATTTGAGTCACGATGGGTCCTCGACGAGCAGCTCGGTCCGGCTTGATGGCGTTGGCACTGTTGTGCTGCATGGTCGGAACATTCTCTCAAAGCACTCAAAAATTCAACATCACCAAGATGCTGGCAGGCCAACCGAGATTCAGCGTGTTAAGAGAGATGCTGAGTTCCCTCGGCGTGGCGGCGGAGATCAATGGTCGAAAGTCCGTCACATTACTGGCTCCCGCCAACAATGTAATGAGAGCCTTCCGGACCAACAATAACAAGACGGACGCTATCAAAATCACCGATCTCCTTCGCTTCCATGTGCTGCTCACCTACTTTGACATAGCAGAGCTCAGGGCCCTGAAGACGACCAACTACACCTCCGTGACCACCCTTCTGCAGACCACTGGAAGGGCCAGCGGAAACAATGGGTTCGTCAACATCTATAGTCTGAAGTCGCGTGTCAAACTTTATCAAAAGTTTATCCAACAAAGATATGGACGACAGGAGTATGAGGAGTTTGATGAAGCTGAAACCACTGATGTGGAACAACAGGCCTTGCTACCTTCGGTTCGGTATCCCAAGCTATGGATGGTCAAGTGTCAGGTACTGTCCTGCACAAAGATGTAGAAAAAACTGGGATATATTTTGTTGCTACCTGCAGAGTAGTTTTTTACAGCCTCTACGTACAATGAGGTTGTAATTCTGTAAAGACATGTCAACTTCTACTATCGTTCTTTCTTGTTGTGACCATCACTTTCAGTCATGCTCTCCGACAAACCGCATTCACGTGTTCTGTTTATCCTGACTCGCAAATCCATGTGCAGATTGGTCATGAGCGGGAAGCATCCATTGGCCTCATGCAAAAGTTTATGGACATGGACATGCAAGGGAAGCCCCTACTTATCAAGTCAGCAATCGCTTTGGATCACCTCAAAGGCTATCTGTATGTGGAGTCCGAGAAGGAGGCTTATGTCAGAGAGGTATGTATTATCAAAAAGTTACATTTAATCTGGTTTGTTTAACTCAGTTGTGAACAAATTCATAAGAATTATCGTCTAGTATGTGACGTCTCATACATCCACAACCCCCCAGGACCTGAAAAAGCGACTCAGTTTTTCTTAGTTCCTCTTCAGTTGCAGCGAGACTTACTTCTAACACTGATTTCTGAGAAGGAAATCTGGTGTCCGGCAGTTCAACGAGGATACTGACGATGTCATCTTTTACTTTCGATAGTGTTAACGATATTGATATCCCTTTCTTTCTTTAGCAATGTTCGAAACTGAGTTAAATCCATATTCTGGCTTGCAGTCTATCAGAGGAATGCGAGTGATATTCCAACGGGAAGTAAAGTTGGTGCCAATAAAGGAAATGACTGATGTGCTATCAGTTGAAAAGAAGTCGGTTGATATTGACACCTGGGTTCGCGTGAAGAATGGGGTATATAAAGGCGATCTTGCAAAGGTATTATTTAGATGTATTGCGTACAGTAGATTTCACTAGATTTATACTCAAGTTCCCTTTTGAAGTGCTCCACTTGAGTATGGATACTTGTATTTGCTTAGTCAACATCACCTATGTTTTTCGCGGGTATGGAGTATATATCCCTACCGAGTCGCCAGGAATTTTCTGGCCGGGTTTCACCTTCCGCGTTATCCATCGAGGACATGGAAGTTTCTGACGGTGAAGTAGGAATCTATGCGTGCCTAGTAGTAATGATGGAGATGGCGACACTCACTACCGTGTCTTAAAAAGTTTCCAAAGAGTATTTCACCAGTCCCTACGTATTGTTCTCCAAAATCTATTTCCAAAAAACTAGATTACAAACCTACAGTATAAATTATCTCACCTTCATCCGTTGGATTGTCAGTATGTTTCGTCCGGTTGATAGTCTGACATCGCATGTATCCGTCAACAGGTTGTGGACGTGGATCATGTGAGGCAGCGTGCCACCATCAAGCTGATACCCAGAGTTGACCTCCAAGCTTTGGCTCTCAAGATGAATGTAAGTTGATTACTCTAGACATTGTCTTCCATATTGATTTTGTCCGAACTAGAGTGCTATTTCAAGCATAGACGTATGAAACGGACTTTTGATCGTTTCGGTAATCTGTACTTTCATTGATTAAGTTGTATCTGAAACTATTGCATGTTACATGTCTTGTATTCTATATCTGTACTTACGTACTGTCCTTCATGTTTTTATTCCCGTACTATTTCACAACGCTTGTCAAAGACATCCTCGCTTTTGATCTCGTTAACTTCTCGAAAACTTTTTTTACACGCGAAGTGTTTGTTTTTATGCAGGAAGGGTCAATAAAAGGAAGTAAAGATGACGCTAAGAATAGGCCAAGACCTGCACCTCGGTTTATTAACGTTCAAGAACTTCAGTATGTATCTCTCCAACGTCTTAGATTCGTCTGAGGGAGATGGTTGGCTCTTTCCACGCAGTTTGAAACAAAGGACTCCTCTTCGTAGAATGCAATTTTGAAGTAAACTGAGGGGAATAGCTTGCCTTTTATTCCGTGTTTCGAAGCCGAGAATTTAATACTTGTGACAAGCCTATCGCCATTGAGAGAAATATCCTCTTATCTAGACACTTGAAATGGGCCCCTGTCAGATTGCCTGTAGTTTAGACATTCTTCGCCAAGAATGAGCAGCCTGTTTGACAGGGAGTTTTATTTCAGCTTGCAATTTTTGACAATCAAAATGTTCTTTTTCCAGGGATTTGAAAATATCAATCGAGAGGAAGCGTGATCCTAATCACGCAGGAGAATATTTCGAGTTCTTTGATGGCATGCAATTTAAGGACGGTTACTTATACAAGGGTGTATCTTTGAAAAGTATTGACTCGAATGGTGTACTTGGCCTTGAACTTGCACATGTCGACACCTCGGAAAGAGCGAGGATTCTTTGACATGCCGATTATCCAGGACGGGAGTCTTTCGCCCATGATTGAGCAAGTTAGAGCCATAGTGATTTTGTCTTTGCCTTGCTTCCCTCCTTTACATGAATCAGCGACGTGGTTCAGTGTTGAATCAGGTAAGGCTCGGAAGAAAAATCCTGTCTCATCCATATTAAACATGTTCTTGACATCAAAGCCGGCTAACAATGGCTAACAATGATTGCAATGATATCTTCCATTGTTCGGCGTCTATAAGATCTACATTTCCTGATTCTCCACAAGTCTTGTACGATTTCACATTGTTTCTCTGCTTCCACTTTTGGAGCTAGCCTTCAGATGCAGAAAATTCTTTTACATCAGTTTCCAAACAACTAGCGATTTGTTTTGCTTTCTCTTGTAGAATGGGGCCACTCATCGGATAGCCACGCGACCTTGCTCGTGAAAACCATCTCCATAGAGTGACACTGATGTTAGTCTGCTGAACAATTATGGTTTTAGAGAGTGCCCGATTGCTCTCTGCTTCTCTCAACAACGTTTCTTTGTTCTGCTTTGTTGCCTGCACGGTTCCTTTGGAATAAAAAAACTTGTACGTTGTTGCTCTGATGCTATGACCATCGTCAAGTTACTTGATGATGGCAGGCTTGGTGCTCAAATCTACCAGCTTTCGGTTTTTTTGTCAAACATCACGTTCAACATCTACATCATGGAGAGTCATTTTCGAATCATAGTATGATCCGGAATGTCTCTTGATTGAAGTTGCAGTACGCCTCCCAAGGTATTGGATGCCTCGTCAACAAGAAGCATCCAATCTGAAGGTAGAGGATGTACCTTGTATAGAGCTGCGTGGCTACTCCGTGAACGGCCAAGGGTGTACTTTGTGTACTCATAAGAGGTGTACTTTTTATAGAGAGTCTTTAAGTAAACAAGGGAGTTTGCAATTCCTACAAAAAAAAACTGTACCATATACGGAGGTGTATCTTATATGGTGTATACCTCATACGGAGATTTCACTGTAATTCATGAAAAGCTTCATGAAAGCTTGCGTAGCTGGGGTCATGACGAGCAACTAATTGAGAATCGCAATCGACTCGGGTATGTACCCTTTTCACTGGAGTCCAGACTACAGAAAGAAATGAACTTAACTCGTGCAGTCCAGACCCTTCAGCATACTTCGTGGCCGTCGTTGCTTGTATTTGCATTTTCAATCGATCTGAAATGTCGATCTGAAGTACATATGAAATTTCAGAAAAAATTATGGCACTCTATTGCTCCATTTGGACAGTTTTGATGGCGCGCAAAGCCGCGTGTACTATCGTCCATCGTGGTTGCCCTATCGTGCCCTGCATTTCTTGGATACCCAAGAGACAGTAGTAGTGTGTTTTTTGTTTTTATTATTGGAAAATCTTGGACTCCGTTTGTAAGATTTGAAAATTTTCGAGGTGTGGATCCGAACGGACACAGTATCGCCCTCCTCTTCCTCCCAAGCTCGGAATTCCCAAAAGGCCATCTTCAACAATTTTGACTTTCCTATTCCAAGGCGCGCGACCATATGCCATGTATGGGCTACAACTGTTAGTGTACTTGCAATATCGTGGTCTCGCTGCTTGCGGTTGTTTGTGACTCGGATTATTTGCCACACAGTTGTCACCGGGCTCATGTGAATGGACCGACAAGAATATAATAAGAACTTGTGGCGTTTTTTCAATTGTTATGATATGGCCATGGCCACTATGCTCTATGATGCGAATGCTGGACTGTAATGTAGAACAGAGAAAAGTGTGGACTCGAGGAGTTTGGACATGACGCATACTTCGCGCGTATTCTAACACCAGTTCTACATGAAGTGCACTTTTTGAGTGTGGCTGCCTCTCTCTTTTCCACTCGTCTCGCATCGAGTCGAGAGGTTTTTAGTGGCACGGGAGGACATGTATCAGCTGTTGAAGACGGAATTGACCCGATTCTAAATGTACAAGCAGCATAGTAGCCGTGGTGGATGTACTGCAGCCAACGTCCCTTTGTACACAAATCCCAGCGCGATTGCAGTGGGGAACCAGTGAGCAGTACTTCAATCCCTATAGACAAATTTTACAAATCAAAGTAAGGAGATGTTTCCTTACTTTGATAAACTGATTTTAAATGGTTGGTAGTTTTTGCTATAAGTTCCATATCTGTTCTATAAACTTTAGTACTTCTTTATAATTAAATATTTCAATATCAAAATCATATGAAAGATGATGATGTTCAATCACCACATGTGGATATAAATTTAAAAATTGGATAACAAAGATAGATCCACAAGACTATGCATCAACTATCGTGGGTTGAATCATCAAACGGTGAAAAACAAATATTTATTACTTGGTATGGATAATTTGTCTAATCAACTTCGAGAAGCAAAGTACTTCACCAAACTGGATTACCATCAAATTCAAATTGTAAATGAACCAAACTGGGTTACCATCAAATTCAAATTGTAAATGAACATGTTCACAAGATTGTTTTTTTACTAGGTACGGTCACTTCGAGTATCTAGTGATAACTTTTGATCTCACTGACTTGTTTGATTATCTAGTGATGACTTTTGATGCAACAGTTACATTCATGGGATTGATGAACAATATTTTTTGCCCTTATCTAGATAAATTTATTATTGTTTTTCTAGATAATATATTGATGTATAGCAAAACTTTGAATGATCATAGACATCATTTACAAATACTTCAAGTTTTGAGAGATAATCAATTGTATGCCAAAACTTCAAAATGTGAATTTGACAATTGAGAAATAGATTACATGGATCATAAGACAGTCATCTTAAGATTCTTTATTACCTTAGTTTGGTTATTTTACGAATTTGACATTGGAAAAAATTCATAATTAGAAACTCTCCGATTTAAATCGCTTCTTTAGTATACATCAGAATATTATCCGGAGGAATCCAAGTAATGAGTAGGCCTTGGCAAGGTAAGGTAAAAGGTAATCGGGTAAACCATGGGCCTCTACCTTTATCCTATCTTTTACCTTACTCGTGTCACTATTGTTTAACTTTAACTTTTACTTCTACCTCAGGGTAATTATCGAGTTACCTGATACAGATTCTTAAAGGTTTAAAAGTTACTTTTACATCAGTGTTACCCGGTAATTACTCTATTACATCTACTCTAAAGGGTAAAAGATTAGGGTTATCCGGTAATTTCCCTGTTACGTCTACCCTAAAAGGTAAAAGGTAAAGGTAATTTACCTGTTTAGTATAGTTTACATGGATACCTTAAGTAGAATGTGCAGAATTACATTCTAAATAATTCTGATAGTGTACACATTTTTGTTCTTTGTGGATACGAAAGCTACCCGGTAATTACCTGGTAATCCATTTGGCTATACCTTTACCTTACATTCACCATATCATATAGGCAAACCTCTAACGTATACCCTTTTATCGGGTAATACTAAAAGTTTACCTTGTCTTGCCGAGGCTTAGTAATGTGTGAGAAGATAGATGCCATTAAAAAATAGCACATTATGATCAAACTAAATTGAAGAGTTTTTAACGATAGACTTGTGAAAGGTTTTATTCACCTAGGTCATGCCTTGATTTTTATGTTAGGGAAAGATCAAAAATAGAGATGGAAACAGCTTTGAAATTAGCCTTTCAAACTTTTAGAGATGTTTTGTTATACGCATCTATATTCAAGTCATATGATACTAACCTATCAAGTTGGCTATTGACGCATCAACTACAATGGTAGGTGGCATATTTCAACAAGAATGAAAGTATGAATGGTATCGAGTTGCTTTCTATTCTCAAAAGTTGGTGGTGACGGAACAAAATTATCACAAGACAAAACGGGATGAGTTAGCCATTGTGTTGGCAATCAAACACTGGAAATCATTATTTGAATGATAAGAAGTTTGTGGTGGATACCAATCAAAAATCCTTGATTTATTTGCAAACTCAGAAGTATTGTCTGAACCACAAATTCGATGAGTAGAATGGCGTCAACGCTTCAACATGAAGATTGTGTACGTGAAGAGCAAGAAGCAATTTGCCAATATTCTCTCACGCATGTTTTGTTTGAATCATGTTGCAGAAGTGAAGATTCAAGTTGATTGATGGAGCAAATTGACACATGCCACAAAAAAGAATGAATAAATCATGAGGTCACTACAAGTTGGAAGTGCAAAAAAGTCTGGAGGTTTGACATTTCTGCAAACAATGTATATGGATTCCGCAAAATCAAAAATTATGCACAACGATTTTATCAAAAAAATTTGATACAGTCATTGCAAGCCATGTGGGAGTGGAGAGTATCTTGAAGAACCTCCAACAAGTTTACTTTTGGCTCAAACTATGGAAGGATGTTGAATTTTATGTTTGAAGTTGTGTCGCTTGTAAACAAAACAAGGCAAGTAATAAAAAATAAGCAGGTTTATTACAAACTCTTTCTATTCCTTAACAGCAATGGAAACATGTCACCATATATCTCGTATGTGAATTACTAAAAACTTTGTTAGGAATTATTCAGTGGTGTTTTTTTATAAATTGAACAATATGATTTACATCAGATCAATCACAACAATTGTGACGACTCCACAACTTGCTCAATTGTACTTAGATGTTGTTTTTATGAATCATGGATTAAGCAAAGTCATAATCACTAATAGATGTATTCATTTCACTAGTTTGTTCTGAAAAACTATTTTAATTTTTTCAAAATCAAATTAGCAATGTCTACAATTTATTATACTCGATTTGATGGTCAAACAAAAAAAGCCAATAGATTGTATAGGATATGTTACGAGCATTCACATTAAAATAACAAGAAAAGTGGGATATTTATTTGACTCTTGTGGAATTTGCATACAACAATTTTTTAAATGCATCCACAAAAATGTTTCCATTTTATTTATTTACGGTGTTCATCCCATTTCTCCATCAAGTTTGATGAAGTTTTTGAAAAGAGAGTAGTTTTCAACTAAAGTAGCTACGGTCAACGAGTTTGTGGAACATATTCACCAAGGATTACAACAAGCAAAGGAGAAGTTCATTGCTCAAAATCGACAAAAACAACATGCTGAAACTCATCTTTGAGAGTCAATTTTTCAGGTTGGGAATCAAGTTTGGCTATCTACAACAAATTTGTCTCTTGTAGGAACATCAAAATTTAACACTAAATTCATTGGTACTTTTGTGATATTGAAACATGTTGGTGAAGTGTCATACAAGTCGGAACTTCTGTCACATATGAGCATACATCATGTATTTCATGTGTCACGATTACAAAAACATATATCACGACCAAAACAATTCACAAACCAACCAATGTTACCTCTTTTATCAAGCTTGATAGTTGATAAAGAGTAATTTGAGGTAGAAAAAATCCTCAAGAAATGAATTTGAGCCCATAAGTATTCCAAGGTTGAGTATTGGTTCAATTGAAAGATTATGCATCATAAAATCAATCTGAAAAACAACTAGGAATGTAGCTAATGCATTACTGATAGTTCGAGAATTTGAACGAATGTGAAACGAGGACGTTGAATCTTAAGAGAATGAAGGTTTGTAACCATCTTCAGTTAGTTAAAACTAAAGTAGAGATTACTCAAAATGTTTATATAGTTACTTTAGCGTGCACTAGTCATAGTTGCCCTGCATAGCGATCCGCGTGCTTGATAGGTAG